CACTTACTATTTCTTGCATTACCACCACAAAAGTCCTGATAAGAACTATTTTGCTAAGTATTTTGACAGCACACTTTGTGTGTATGGCATATCTCTATATCAAGCTCCTACAACACTTTTTCAGTTACGCCTAATACTCCTGAAAGAGAGGTTTATTTGTGTAATCTTCTGGAAATACTGTGTTGGTTTATTTGTGCCAACTTTTTGCATTTTATTTATGTTGGGGAGATTTATTAAAAATTAGCTCATATCCAGGTGGATCAACACAAAGATCTTGCAGATTTTAAGTAAATAGTACAGATAACCTTTATAAAATATCAGGAACTGCCATGTAGTGAAAAGGCACTGGGATATACTGTCATTTAGTGTAGCTAAGCCACATCTTTACATCTAGACAGACACTGGATTCCACAGTTTCCCTTTTTTAAAGTGTTCTTACATACAAAAGCTATTGAAATCTTTGATTGTACCTATAAAGCTATCCCAGTTGGTTCCTGCCATTTTAACTAGAGATAGGCATTTGGATTGTCATCAACCACAGCACATGAAGCTACCTTGGGACTGCCCAACTTCAAATATTTCACTAGAGAGCAAGAATTGCTGTGGGACATGTGCCTCAATGTTGTACCAAGTGACACACACACTACCACACCACAGCACAGGCTACCTACAGCTTCAGAAAGCTACCATTCTTAGTCCTAACACAGCCATGTAACCTGTTTAAGAAAGTAAAATAAACTACTTGAGTAAGGAAGCATATGGAAATGTGGAGCTGATAATCAGACACTTGGTCTGATTACATTCGTTTAAAAACAGTAGAGTATACATATAGTATTGTTCCTATACATCAATACAGGAATCTGTCCACTATAAGTCTTAATGGATTTGTCTCTGAGCAACATCTTTCAGTTAAAAGCTCAATTATTTTAAGGTAACTAGTCTTCCTTATACCACTACGGTACGGTAGTATTTCTATTTAAATTTTGTTTTTTTTTTTTTTTAAAACTTTACAGGGGGATCTCAGAAATTACTACAATAATCAGTAACAGCTCTAGCCATCAGAGCCTCTTCTTATATAGAAGTTAGTCACTCCAATCATAATCCTGAAACAAATTTCAGTCAGTTTAACTTCTGGTACTGCACCTCTTCACATCAAATAAATGGAAAATTTAAATGCACAGTACATTCCCTTCTAATTTTAAAAACCTGACTGTAGTGCTATCACCTCTGACTGACAACAACAACAAAAAAATAATTTTACCACATGAACTGGACAGTCTAAGGAGGGACAAAAATGCAGCAAATACTATCAACACATACAGATCACTTATTTTTCAGCTATATTTGATTTCTGAAAGACTTGAAAATCTGTAAGATCTGAAAAGTATAATTTTTAAGGAGGGGTAAAAAACCCTTGTGCTCCTTTTCTAGTCAAGCTGCTTCTTTGCTCTCCTCCTACACACACTTTTTTTATGTTCCCATGTCACCTTTAACAGATTTTATAGAGTTAAAAGACTGATTGCTATCTCACATTTGACTTACAAAGAATGCCATACTCTAGTAAATTGACTCCAGATGCTGAAAAATGTTCACACTCAAAAAGATGTATATTTTAATTTAAATATATATATACAAAATGATATCAAATGAAGGAGGTTTTTAAGTCTAATTTTTAAAGGAAATCCTGGGAAGTAAACAGTTGCAAGTAAGCAAACAACACCTGTATCTCACTTCATTTCCCATGCAGCAACAGAATGTCATTTAAGGATTATTTCCTTGCTTTTCAGAAAAAGGATACACCTCTAAAGCAAATATCAAGCTCTGCCGCGAAGACATCTGATAGGACAGAAATCTTAATTGCTTCAGAGTGTCTCCTTGTTGCCTGCTCTATTTTAAATTCTAATTCTTAGTTTTATAAAAAGAGCTGAAGAACTAACATAATCCAAGCACAAAACTGGAAGTTTCAGTACATTTTCTCTTTCTGTCCTTTTTTTTTTTTTTAATATAATAATGATAATGCCACATACTTTCACTCCATGTATCTGCAAAGATAATCAACCCTTGGAAAAGCAGGCAGTTTATTTTGTTCACTATGCAGGCAACAATAATAGCAAAGCTGTCAGCTAGATCTCATCCATACAGTGTAGGTTACCAAGATTAGCCAGGCCAAAAATAAGTGAGTTTTTATTAGGAATTCAAACCTAACACCTAATATATACAAGGCACTTTGTAGGCTTACAGGTCAAATACAATCTAAAAGCAAACAGTTTACAGAAAGCTCATAGACTTCTTTGAAAACCTTCCCTCACAAAACAAGAAAGATTTATAGCTGATTTGAAAAGTAGTAACTGCAGCAACTTATGTAGCCTTTAAGTCCCCCCAGCCCATTTTCTTCTCTGCCAATATAGATACAACTAACAAAAAGCCAATGTATTTATACAGTTATTTATTATTTTTCGAAAAGATCATATTTAGATGTCAATTCTGCAAATAATTCTGTACAGGTAAAAATCTACACCTACAGAATTTATTTTATTCATTATTAAATTCATATTTGGGTAGAAGAGTCACAAAGCTTGAATAAAAAAAATTTCAGTTTATAAATAATTACATCTTTTTGCCTAGTTGTTGAAAATTATTACGTCTTTCTCTTGACATGAATAACTACCAAAATCGTCTTTATTTTGTTTTTAAATTAAAGACCTAAAAGGGAACTCAGGAAAATACATATTCCCTTTCCCATATTAATTTGGTTTTTGCTTTGTAGTTTTTTTTAAGAATCTGAAATATATTACAAGTTCATAATTTAAACATACTATTTGCTGTTGACTATCAGAGCGTAATAAATAAACAAATGATCATGTATTTTGACATGTAACTAGAAACTAATGCCCAGAGTCATACCATAATTTGGGAATCTAGTTTCAAGTATATAATCTTAAAAGTTTCCATTCTAACCTGAGAGACACTTACATTCTCATAGAACAATTCACTAGCCAGGTAAAATCTCATTTCCACACCTGCCAAGATACTCTCCGATATAAGCAGGCCTAAGCAGCTTGACATGCAAGCTACGCTCTAGTTATTAGAACTTACCTTCCCTGGGACATTTTTTCACTTCAGAAAGCTCTCACATATGTTTTCACTCAAAAAAAAAACACCACTACAATTTTTTGAGAAAGGAAAACTTTGTTTTAAACCAAGTTTTGTTTCAAAGCAATGGTACAAGAGTTTCCAGTCTTGCGACATTCACAGGGGAGCTGATTTGTATCTAATGCACAAACCACTGCTTCCATGGAAAGCCAGGGAGACTGGAGACTTCAAAGGTGGAAAGGCTGAACATTTCTTGTTTTCAGCAGCCTCTCTAATTAAGTACCATAGGCCTGTATTTTTCTCTCAACATTTTTTTAAGAAACAGAAAATGAGTCAATTACCAATATGCAGTATGCAATTACCAATGAAAAAATCTTGACCAGGAATATTAATTCTTCCTGTATAACAATTATGATCATGCTTTTAACCATTTTTGTAAACGGAAATATTCTCAAATTTAAGATACTTCAGTCTATCAAAGAGCTTAAGACTCTCTGAAAAGGATATTTTAAAAATCTTTATCATTGTATGCCTCTTCTCAACTTTCCTATATTCACATTTTAGGAGGAAATTAGTATCAGAATTAAATATAGTACTCTGCTACCTGCAGTATCTATGGAGTAATTTCAAGTGATACAACTTTTCTGTACCTTCTTGAAATGAGTACCACAGGGATGACAATAGCCTTTTTTTCATAAAGCATCTCAATATGAGATATGTTCAGTTCTCCATCATTATTCAGAAGTTTTTCATAATTGTTTTCAAAACACATCTCTGCTGTAAGGTTCATTGCTCAGTATTTTTTGTACAAAACTTTTTTAATCAAGGAATTTTTATTCATTACATCCAAGTACATTTCTGACAACATACATTTTTAGAAACCACCGTGAATCTTCACAGCAAGCAGTAAAGATTTCTTAATTTCTTCCCAATCTTTGATAAAAGCATAGAACATACCATATTGGGAACTAATTTCTGAAGACCCATACTGCCTGACAATTCCCTATTAACTACTGTATTTCAAAATGCATTATTTGCCCAGTTACAGTCTATTTCATATGCCAAACTGATGCACCACGCTAATTTTTCTTTTAGAAATCAAAAGGGATAATACAGCACACAATTTAATCATAGATAAGAGCCAAACAAGAATCTCTGCGAGCATGTGATTTGATTCTTAGCTCTAGAACTTCCTGCACCTGCAAATCCAATAAATATGCTCAACTAAACTATATCTTCTAGAAGACCTATTACCTCTAAATTTTCAGAACGATTACTGAGAATTGTTCAGCCATTACGTTCTCTCACTTGATCACATTTTATCTTCTTTGTTAAGTTAAGGATCATTATAGTATCAGTTTTCAGTTCCCCATATGGTACCCATAGTCAGATAAACTCACTTCTTAGCTTTTCTACAAGAACGTGCTTTTTCCAGTCCTTGAATCCTTCTCATGGCTCTTCTCTTCCTTACATACAGCAGATTGCAGAACTAGACACAGTATTTGAAGACCAGATGCACTCTGCTGAACACACAGCTACCTTTCTCATTAGTTTGCTGTTCATGCATTCAAATCCTTTTAAGCACAGCTCAGCACTGGAAGCTCAGGCATAACTGATCATTCACCTTCATCCTTTTTCTTTTCAGTCCTTCCCTCTCCAGAAAGCCATCCTTATCCTGCAAGTACACATCCATCTTTCTTAGGCATAATCTTTTACTTTAGCTCCACCAACACAACTCTTAGTTTGTATTGCTTACCAAGAGATTCATTCTACCCTGTCCTCATACCCAGACTTTTTCAGAAATTGCAGCATTTTCCAATGAATACCATAAGGCTGATAACTAATGCACACTTCAGTTTAATAATTCTCTGAACAAAATTAAATTGAGACTTATCCATTAACTACACTTAATGCAAAGGTTTGCTGACTTCCTATCATTATAGGGCTTTATTTAAAATGTCATGCTGTATCAACTGAAATGTAGCCATCTATGCCACTATTTTTATTAAAAAAAAAAACAGGAAAACGTCCAATAAGTTATTTTTCATAACTCACAATAACCGCCATTAATCATTACATCTCTACATCTCTTAACATCTTTCTTTCTTGTATCAGACACATCCTAATTACATAACATTAACTACCTGCTAGTCTCCTACAACTTCACAAGTTTTAAAGACTTACTGAAATTTAACGCTGACAGTCTAAAAACATGAAAATATGAGGTACTCATCATCAGGAAACGTCAATTTATTACTTCTGGCTGTAGCTGCTCCTAACATCTGTTTTAGTTAAGAACATTGACAGGTGATCCATTTCATGCTAAACCCCATTTTCATAAGCTTCTACTACCTCATGTGATTTCTTCCCAATTGATGAATGTCTCCATGTTTCCTACACCAATAATCATCAATTTTAACATTTTCGTCTCATCTCAAACCAACACCATTTCTGTTGAGCCTCAAATATGAAGAATGAAACTCTCTGCACAAGAATTTTGCCTTCTGTGTCATCTACACCGTTTGCTTAGTCCTAAAAGGTCATTAATATCTATCACTACCAATTTGTTCTTTCTATTCTACCTCCTCTGGAATACAAACTGGCTTTTTGACACAGTAAGACTTCTTTTTCTGGGACACCTAGCAGATAAAGGTAATAGCACAAACTGTTCCAGAATAACTTTTTCTGAACTCTTTCTCCCAATAGATTTAGCTAGTAAGTCAAACGCTACAGGAGATTAAACATAACATCATAAAGATTTAACATAAGCTCTGAGAGACGTGGTATCTCAATGAGAATAGTTTCAAGTCACTCATCTACTTTGAAGCTCAGAGTTCTCTTAAATCATCAGTATAACAGTGAGCTTAATAATAAGATCATCTCCTTGTGCAGGAGTATAACACTTGGCAGAGGCTTCATCACTGCTTGAATCAGATGAGAAAGGAGAATAAAATACACGGGTTAAGCTGAAACATTTAGTAAACACCTACCTAAAGCTGAAATTTGCCTGCACAAGACATAAGATCAACCCAGAGGGGCCTGTGCCAAAAAACATTAACTGTTTCTAAATCAAGAGTTTGAAATATTGCTATATTAAAGTACAATACTGGGTTTGGATACATCCTTTATTCCAAAAACTCTCTAGTATTACCAACCAGATCACACTGAAGACTAGTCAAGGGTAGAATATATATATGATGTAGAAATAAAAATGTAGGAAGACAAATTATAAGGTTGCCTCAACCATGACAAAGAAATTCCAGAAGATGGGCACAGCAAGGGTGAAAGAATGGGCTAACTATTTCGAGGCCCAATTTGGAATTTAACCTTCTCCAGTCTTCTGAGGAAAAAAAAGAATTGCCTTATAAGCCCTTGTAGGATTTACAGTACTCGGGCAGAAAATCAATTATGCAAAAATTAAAATATTGATGCAACTGATCCCCTGAAGTCCTTAGCAACGGAAGCTGATACTATACAATTTGTTGTACGCTTGAAATTAAGAACAGAACTGGGAAAGACAGAGAAGCAACTCTTCCAGCAGCAAGTATCCATGCAGAACTTGAAGATAACTGTGCAAGAACTTTATCTATGACAAAACAGAAATTTCCGTTTACTTATGACACTTGATTGCTTTTCATTTTACCTTGCTGCATTATTCCACAAAATCCAGAAGGTACTGTATGTCACATTTCCCTACTGCTGTGGGACATGAGTTCTCAGAAAGTTCTTCACACACTGGAGTGTACTCCAAACAAAGAGGGGCCAGAGCCTGCACAAACTACTTGGTAGAAAAATACAGAATGTATGAAAGTTATTTAGCATAACTGTATTTTTTATTCCTCCCACCACCTTACTAGCTTCTGCACTACTGTTGAAATACAGTGCAAGTGCAAGTATGGTAAAGGAAACATTTGATCTTGGAATCTACTATTAGCAGAGGTAAGCATTGAGACAAGATGCTATTCATCTCTCCCAATCCCTGGATGAAAGTTTTCTGTTCTTTAATCGCCACTGTTGTCAAAAGAAGAAAAAAAATTCAGCAGAAGAGACTACTGCTTTACAATACTTCAGACTAGAAATCTTTAAGTATTATTCCCTAGAAGGATGCTGAGAATACAACTCCTGAGAATACAACTAGTGTGACTTAAAAAGTTCAATAGCTCTATAAAATTGTAGAGTTCAGATGACACCCTCTCCCATTAAAAAATTTGGGTCCTGAAATCACTCCAAAGACCAGTCTCATTTTTGGGGAACCAGCATCAGCTTTATATAACTCTCACTGACAACTGATTTATGTCTTCTTAGACAATAAACTTACATTGGTTGTGAATTTCCAGCAGAAAGATAAGTGTAGTTTGCAAATAAGCTGTTATTTGCTTGTAAAAGAAGCTTTTTTTAAAAAAAAAAAACAGGGACAGATGTACTAGAAAGATGTTAATTTAATATAAGAATTCCTTATCACCCTACCAGACTAATCTTATTTCATTTTTTTTAAATTACTTTTCATTCCCTGAGTACACTGTTAAAGTCATGCATACAGTGTTTCCTATCAGATGATAAATACATTTCAGAAAAAAATTATAAAGAGCATTAAGATTGAACATTTAAGAGCTCAAAATTTTGAACACATCAGATCAGTTGCATGGTAACTGTAATACAACCTGAGTGTATGTATTGTAACAGCTTTTAATTACATGGCCTTGTACTATTCATGGTACAACTCTGTTCTTATTAAGCAGGAAAACAGAAGTTCTGTGGACCTGAAAAAAGTTTGGAGAGGACAAGTATTTTCACAAAATGAGCTGAATGTACTTATTTTTAACAGAAGTTTTATGGAAGATATTTAATTATGTATAAATAGCACATGGTGAATCTGCATTACCTTTTAAAATAAGGTTTCCTTCACATTTCATCTAATTTGAACATTAACTGTGAACAGGATTATCATATGTCTGTGAAGTAATGATTTTCATAATTTTTACAGATCTCGACAAGAGTAAGAAAATGGAAAAAGAATGGTAGCTTAAGATAGTTGCAGTTGAGAAGGTTATTAAAAAAAAAAAAAGAGATTATTCTTGAAAAAGTGCCTCAAAAGCTTTGTTTAGTATGGTCTAACTCATTCCTGATTCTGCTCCTTTGAAATAACAACGCAATTCCAGTAAGAGTCAGTAAAAATTTTTCGCCTTGGCTTCCCCTGCATCTTCTCTCACTACATTTAAATGCATACAATCTTATTTGGGGTTTTGGGTCAAATCATTTAGATTAACTTGTTGTATTTTGTTGCCAGACAATATAGAGACATTTCAAAGAGAAACATCAGCATATCATACCTAAGAAAATTTATTTTTCTGCTAATACTCAAATGCCCTTCCTCATTGTAACAAAGTTTTAAATGGACTGCTAAACCCAGAAAATGCTTATGATGAAGTATGGAAAGAAGCACTACAACCATAAGAAAAAAGGGTAAATCAGGGAGAATACTTGAAAACAATATGCTCAGACTCCAGCAGAAGTTTCTGGAGAAATTTAGAGCTTGTGCTCAAAGGCAAAGACATCTCATCTGGATTTGTTTCTTTGGGTTTTCTGGGTTTTGTTGGGGTGATTTTGTTTATGGATTTTGTTTGTTTGTTTTTCATTCATATTCTGTGGCACCTTCAGAAAAAGTCACTGTTTTAAAGGACAGGTCTAACTAGCTAGCAAGAATCATAAGTATGCTTAACAGAGATGAAATTATAGGCTGGATATCACGATAAAGGTAATAAAACCTACCCAGTATTTTCATCCATGTATTTCAAAGTTTTTTACAAAGGGAGTTTAACATTATCACTGGCATTTTATAGATGGAAGAGTGAGATGTAATAAAGAGGACAAAGGAAGCAAGGATGAACCTGGCCAGGGAAAGGCCTGCTCTAGGTGATGGTAGGATCAGAATATTCTAAGATAAATATAAGGGGGGGAAACATGGGTCATAGAATCATAGAATCATTATGGTTGGAAGAGACCTCAAAGATCACCAAGTCCAACCATATACCTGACGCCACCATACCCACTAAACCATGTCTTGAAGCACCACATCTAAACGTTTTTTGAACACCTCCAGGGACAATGACTCCACCACCTCCCTGGGGAGCCCGTTCCAATGCTTAACGACTCTAACAGTGAAGAAGTTCTTTCTAATGTCCAGCCTGAACCTCCCCTGGCGCAACTTGAGACCATTTCCTCTTGTCCTATCGCTAGTTACTGGGGAGAAGAGACCAACCCCCGCCTCGCTACAACCTCCTTTCAGGTAGTTGTAGAGGGCGATCAGGTCTCCCCCTCAGCTTCCTCTTTTCCAGACTAAACAACCCCAGCTCCCTCAGCTGCTCCTGGTAAGGCTTTTTCTCCAGGCCCTTCACCAGCTTTGTTGCCCTTCTCTGAACATGGTCCAGCAGCTCAATGTCCTTCTTGTAGTGAGGGTCATTCACTTCAAACCAAGATCTTGTACTTCCACATGTTACCCCAACTACAATACATAATCCACCTCAAAGAGATCATAAAGGAATAAGGAAGTTCATACTAAAATAATCAGAACGTTGATCTAAGTCTGTTAAGATGATCTCTGTTCATAACAGATACAAGGTTAACATGATTTTAAAACTACATTTTAATCAAAAAGATGGACAGTGAGCTACGAAGTTTTGTCACACACCATTTCTCCCTATTGATTTCAATGCAGGAAATTTTTTTTTATATATAGTTGCCACTGCTATTGCCATTACCACCTGTAATAAAAATCACAATTTGCCTGTATCTAGCAAAGATTCAAAACAATGTGGCTTTGAGATCAAGGTTTTAAGTACCTGTCTTGTTCTGAAACAAATATAAAGTTTTTTGTTTCTTGAAGCATGTGTATTTTTAAAGTATCTCTTGCTTATAGAGTGAAAATATACAATATAAAAGCATAAAATCCTGCCCACAACCATATTCACATTCCACTTCTCTTTCCCCCCCAAAAAAAAGAAAAATCAAGCAGAAAATCCACTAGAACAACAAAAAGGACAAAATTTCAAAGTTACAAAAATGAGGTATCAAATAGTTTGCTTTTTTTTTTATCCAAACACATAGGCCTTGAAAGAAACTTCAAAGCAACAAAGACTTTGGTAGATACAGTATTCTGCAAGGTCATTCCACACACAGGTTTACTAGGAACAGAAAGCCTCTCTCAGCCCCAGATGCACATAACATTTAGACCAGAGGAAGAACAAACCAGCCAATTTCAATTGCTAAAAAGCACCCAAGAATATGAACATGTCATCCAGCTGCACAGGGGTCCAGATTCAGAATATCCTTTCATGTGTTTAAACTGATAATTCTCCATATAGACATTTTGATTTTTAGCTAAGCTAAACCGGGAGAACATAATTGAGGGACATACTCAGCACAGCTGACATGCTTGAGCATTGTTTTTGTTTTCTCTATGTAACAGAACATACAGACAATATAGCGTGTATAAACTATCACTTATTTTAGCTAAACTTGTCGCATGTAATTTCCAAAGAACCTATTTTCATGCAACTTACTTTTCCCCCTACAGCCTCAAAACCTGCATTTATATAGCATATACGTCAATACACAGGTCAAGCTACTACAGCACAGTGGCACCTACACATGGAATCAACCTTACTCTTCCAACAGTCACATTCTAATTTTTACGTTTTCCCAGTGTGACTTTCAAGATACTTTAAATGATACTCTGTTTTTGAAAAGCATACTCATCATTACTGCTAAAATAATAAAGACATATTTTGAGGTAAGAAAAAAAATCCAATAAATGCCTACCTGAACCCACTGGAGATGAGCCAACACTAAGACTCTGTAAACTTCCATTCCTGAGCAAAGTTGGAGATTTTTGAAGACCAGAGCTTGTCACACTTCCTGCAGCAGATGCCACAGATGAAGTTGGGGAAGCAGAAGAAACTGAAAGATGGGAAATACTTTCTTGACTTTTATTTCCTTTGGGTCTACCAGGCCCATGTTTACTTTGTTTATTTCCTTTCCGTTTCTTCTCTGTTACAGTTTCTTCTTCTATTCCAGAAGTTTGAGCTCGCTTGTATGCTGTAGAAGCAAGGCTTGAATTACCTATGTCTCCAGGTGAGCTGTCAAAGTTTTTAGATTGTGAAACAGCTGCTGATGAAGGGAGACCAATTAAGGAAGTGAAACAATTGACACTCCCCTCTTGACTCCCAGCCTCTCCTTTATGTACATCTTTGGTTGATGAAGCCTGTTGAGAATGCGTGAAACTGTCACTTCGCAGATCTGTGTCTGTAAAACTCAAAAAATCCTGGGGAGACTGAACTGAACTTCCAGAAGATGACTTTATGCTCCCTGGAGTGCCCAAAAAGCTTCCTAAAAAAGAAAAAGTACAATTTTTTTTTTCCTGTAATTGATGAAAATTGATAGGAAAAAAATAGCATCTTAGAACAAAAAAACTTTGAAGTGCAAGGACTTTATGAAAAGTGTTACCAAGAGGTAAATAATTTTTAAGATAGCTCATTGCTGCTTCTGCTGATCTTCACTCTGCTGGATCTGATTCTTAGATTCCTATCTAAGATTCAGATTTGAATTTGGGGCACAAACAAGGTGAAAATGAATAAAAGGAGAATAACAACTTTGCTGCTTAGGCAACTTTGACATCCCTCGTGTTCTGAAGTCACAACAAACACCTGGTGCAAGTCACAGCAGGTTTTTTTAAACATACACATATATAAAAAGAAGACTGATAGAAACATGCTATGATCACACGTACACTATGCCTGCAATCTTCCTTACCATTCTATCTAAATCAAGGGTCCGACACAGGTCAAGGGAACAGCAATTCCACTTAATTTACCCTGGCTGAGGAGGTATTCCATAGAGAGGTATTTTTCAAAAGGACAGGAGAAGTAGTGGAGAAAAGTGTATAAAATTGGCATTTTAAGACTTCTTTAGCACTGTCAGAGAACCATAAAGATCTTTTGTGTAATAGAATTACATTGCTTCTGTAATATTTGGAATGCAGTCATTTCATCACTGTGTTAGCATAAGCAAGGCAGAAAATGGAGCACACTTGTGAAATACTTTCAATGAAATTCAGTAATTTTATATGGGTGGTGCATGTGGGTACTGTTTTGCAGAACTTAGACTGATGATGACTATCCCATCAAGAAAAGACTCCTAAATATGACTTTAGGTATAAAAAAAGTCCTTTAAAAATTAGTGTTTTATCATTAGTCCTCCATTAAACATTATTAAGAATTCCATTTAAAATATAATTTACATTAATACAGCAATTTAAAAATCATAAAAACATTGTTGTTTTGTATTTTAAATAAGTTACATCACCTTCACTTAATGCAGCTTTAAAGAAAATACATGCACATAGTAAAGATGTATTTTGCCATCTGCAGTGAGGAAGATTTTTCTTTAAATGCAGTATTCCAGAAGGCAATTTTCAAACTTTTGAGAATTTAAACAAACAAAAAAAACACTTCTGTTTTTTTCAAGTAAAAAAGCCGGAAATATTGAAGGAGTTCTAGACAAATTTAAAACTGTTCACTGCATAAACAAACTCAAAGGAAGAGCAACATCATAAAGCAGAAAGGACAGTCAGCTACTACATGTCACAGTGAAAATTATGGAAAAAACAATTACTTTATAGGAGGTCTAGTTTGCTATTTCAAAATAACAGGTTTTACTAGTTAAGTAATAAAAAATAGACTTTTACTTTTTTTTTCTTTCTTCAACTCTGACGAAGATGCCATAATAAAATTTGCTTTTTAGAAGTGTCAACAGTGTATTTAGTGGGTTCTGGCATGTTCAAAACGTCCAATTGTTGTATTACATAAGGTAAATAAACTGTATATACTTGTCACATAATCATCTTCTGCTTATGTATTTCAATGACAAAAAAATAAAAGTGAAAAGGTCTTTGAAGAAAATGGTGTATTTTAGATGTCTGCATCTTGAAAAATTATGGGGCCACTGCATCCTATACATGAGCTAGTTCAGTTTTGTTCTAATATCCACTAACTAAAAAAATACTAGTACTATTCCCTTAAAGAGCTGAGAAAGACCCCTAGACTCAAATTCATGTGTTAAATTTTACCCCAGACTAACTTTTCAGCACATAAAGAGACTTGTTTTTAGCAGTTAAAGAGAATACCTTAACAGTCTAAACAAAAGCATCAGTTTTGCCCTTTAGAGATGCACGACCTTCTTTTTCATGTTATGACAATGAACACTTTTCTCCCTTAAAAAAAATTTTCTTTTTTCCCCAAAGTGAAACAACATCCTCATTATTGCGGATAAAGGATGAACTACTTTTCAAGTTTTAAATATGTAAGATTTCTAAGTCATGTTAAAGCAGAAGTCATGTTACAGCGTAAGGATTAATACCTTGCTGAAAAGGGCTAGCTGCAGTCACAGTTGTTCCTGGATTTCTTCCAGCACCAGGCTTTCTTCCCCTCTGACCTGAGCTGTGACCTGTAGCTTTCTTCCCTTTGCTCTCTGACCCTCTAGCCTCTGAAGAATCTTTTCCACTTGAAACGTGTGTAGAAACTTCCTGGAAATTTGCATTTGTAAATCGAGCCGTGGTATCTTCCAACCGCTTCAAGGAGCCTGACATGGAGTTGTTGCTAGTGCTTGTGTAAGTCTAGCATTTTGATGAGAGGAAATAAGATAAAAGAAACAGGTCAAACAAAAAACTGTAACAAAGGAACTGTTTAAAAGAACCTATTCTTTCAAATATACTCAGAAGTGTTCAAATACTAAGGTAAGTGGCAACAGCAGGCGTTACATAAACTGAATTATTAAGATTTTCAGCAAACAAATGCATAAAACTTCATTTTGTGGAAAATGATGCATAAAAACAATGTCAGCTTTGGTTGGTATTTTTACTTCACTAAGGTCAATGGATTAATCTCAAATCTATGGTTACACAGTCTTTATATTCTATTTAAATAGGATATTGTTCTTTTACTGCTTAAAATTAAAAATTAAAAAGAAAAAATGAGACTTTAAATACTTTTCTGAAAATACAATTTTTATGCAGTTTGTTTTGTCAAACTGGAAACATTGTTCCATCATCAGTGGAACTGACGAAGGCTTCAGAACCTAAGAACTTACTGTCTCAACACCGAACCAAAATCAACTCCAACAAGCCCAACTGCCCCTTATGTCTTCACTTCCTATCATCACACTAGGATTCCCTGCCATCTGAACTGCCCCATTCAGCCAGTTCCTTAAGTACCATCAAGTAAAGAAGACACATGAGATCTAGTTGGTCAAGACCCGTGCAGGAATGACTGGCTACCTACTACAAACCTGCTGCCAGACAGGAAGGAAAAAGCATAACACATTCTTGAGCTCCCAATGGAGATTTCTTCCTCAACCCCCATCCATCCCCAAGAATTTTGGTCCTTCTCCTACACCCATAAACTCTTCACAGGGCTTTCAAAAATGTTATCCTTAGACTCATCATTCTTACATTAAATTTTGTCATATTTATTCACATTGGTGAACAATAGTCAAAATAGGTCACAGAAAGTAATTAGGTGGGCAGGGAAATTGCGTGCACAGCATCAAGAAACAACACAAAGGAATAGAATTGTTTTCATAATAAAAAAAAATTTGGACTTGTGATAGCAGAATTATCAGAAGAAAGAAAATGAAAGCAAAATTAGGAAAAAAGAAATAATGTTCTACTGTTATTTATACTCAAACCAGCTAATAAAATAGCCTTTTAACTGTATAAAGCTTCTTCAACAAAAAACATGGATCAATCCTAGAAGCTACTCATCTATTCAAAAAAAGCTTAGTTTGTTTTTCAGTTCTTTATAGAAGAGAGTCTAAAATAGATCTAATTTATCTCCATTAAAGACCACACAAACACATGCCTCTTAAAATTGAACATGCATGTGTTTTCTCTCCCCTGACTGGGATGCTTGCTCAATTTAGGCCTACAGCAGAGTATTTCTTCATCTTTTCATATAGCTTTGTATAGCTGGTATAAGAAGTTTTCCATAGCTAAGACATTTACATAGAACTTGCTTTTCAGTTGCAAATGCCAAAAGACAATTAAATATGCCAGCTCTGAGAAGATTAAAATTTTGATCTATTTGCATACCACCCTGTATGAATTATTATGAACTGCATTAAAAACATATTATGGATTATCTGAATAACAGTGAAGAAAAATCTGTAAAGTACGATGTTAAAAATAATTTACCTCAAATTCATATTACTATACTGGTAAGTGTTTCTATGAAGATGGAGCCAATTCAAAGGTAAGTTTAGCAGTCAACTTTTTGAACTATTACAAAGTTCACAAGTATGCTCAATTTTCAGGAAACTGATGTGTCACTTGACCTGATTTAAGAAGCAGTGGTTCAAATCTGGGTCATTTGAACAAAGGGTTTCCAGACATGCAATAACCCAAACCAAAAGTCTTTTTTTTTTCTAGAATCCAGGATTTCTCCTCTTATCTAAAACCTTCCTTTCCTAATTCTTATCTCCTATCCACTCAGTTGAATATTAATTGCAAGGATAATTCTCTATAGGTATCAACAACCATAGTTTGATGTTATCTAGTACCTCTTCCCCATTACTGCAGGAATTTGTATGTATTTATTTACTTATTTTAAAGGGAAATAAGGAGTTTAACATAGCTCTACAGACTGGCCAGGGCTAGGCAATGACAAGTGGGCATTAATTTGCATATATCGTGCAGAGATTTGGTTTGACTGCAAGCCTGAATCCTGCTCTTAACAGATTTTGGAGAACATGCATGCACATTGCAGTTCTGCTTTTGAAAACTTTGTTCCAACAGGTATTTGTGCCTCCGAAGGCACTATAAAGTGTACTGAAATCTACATGCTTACTCAGAACATCTTGAACACTGATATGACGCAATATACCCTAAGCAAAGTAAAACCGGTATCATTTGGTCAGTATTTTTTTTTCACGTATATTATATTCCTTACTTCAAGGAGTTAATTGCAACAAAGTGCCCTAAACCAGATACACATACATCAGTTGCTTTGAGAATCCACAAGATACATGGTAAGTTCTAAGCTAAAACTGCAGCACAAACTTTAGATTATTAAGCTAATTGGTTCATACAATAACTTACCCACCACTAAACGAACTGCTTTTCTAAAATGCTAAGTTTTAAAAGACAAAGGCCTAACAGAAATGTCTCAGAAAAACATTAGTATGTCATGGCAAAGTTATCTTGTTTGTTTGTTTGCTCTGGGGTTTTTTCAAGTCAGGAGAGTAAGAGTGGCAGGGAGCAAGGATCTGAGGATAGAGGCAGAACACCTTTGGTTATTTACTGACTGGCTTCAGACTGCAGTTTCCCCAAGCTTACAATGCTGTTCTCTCCCAGCACATACTTTTAAAATGAAGTCCACTACTTGAGGCTCCCCTCTTTACTGTTCACGCTGCAGTCAGTCATTTTCCTTCATTTCAGTACAGACATCCCCCAAAAAGGAGATTCCCACTGATGCTGTCACCCAGCTCCATTCCCTGGTTTATCTGGGAAGACTTGACTACTTCATGATGTTAATACTGTTCTCAAAAAAATCAAACAGTATTTGCTAGTGCAATTACCAAGCTAACTGTGTGTATCAGGGTTCCTTTATGCTTCCCATAAACCAGGTTGCAGGGTTTTCTTTCCAAAGAGTACACTTTCACATTGCCAACATGGTGCACAGAGAGTTATCGTTTTTATGCTTCCCATATATCACTCTGTGTGCCCTGAGGAGTTATATCACCCATCTGTAGCAAGTCTTAAAACTTCTGGGAAAGCTTTAGATTTATGGTAAAGGCATAATAATCACTCTTGCTATACACAGTACATCCCAAGGCTTGAGAAGCTTTAGCCCTAATACAGACATATACGGTGGTAGTCTTGCACAGAGAGGGGAAGGACCACAGCAGGTAATCCTCCACAAAAACGCCAGATGGTAAGAGCATGGTCCAAGCAAAAACCAACCAAACAAAAAAACCCAACACACCCATATACCACATAGCCCACAAACACCACACTGCTATAGGATAGTGATGTTCAGTCATACCAAATAGAGATTTCCCTACTCTTTTCATTCTCTTCTGTACCCCATTGTGGAAGGATCTGAGCACCTCCCTTGAGAACCACGTTGGGCTGATAGTCAGGGTGAACTGAGGAGGGTTATCATCGTCATCTCTACTATTACAGATAAAATTATCAGCTGTACTTCCTGTTTGCAGTATCTTTTATTTAATCACTGACTACAATTTGAATGCAGATACACTGTCTTGTGTATCTTTGTGTAGGTCAATGTTTTGGAGTTTTGTTTTAATTAACAACATCCCACCCCCCCCAAAAAAAAAAAAAAAGACAACTGTATTTTTCCGGATCTGTTAAACCATACACATTTTTAAATTCCAGATACAAGCCAGAGATCAAAACCTGAGACAGAAGCTTTTATTAGGACTAAAAAGGGCTGATGGCTCTTCCCAAATAAGAAGGCGGCCAGAAGAAAAGGCAGAGAGAGAACTCAAATTCCTAAGTTATTGCACTCTTTCTTAAAACATCCTGTATCTACGCCCCAAAAGAAAAGTGAAAAATTTGTTAGCACATTAATCAAAGAGTAGTTAAGAATGTCTTACTTCAAACTTTTTCAGTCTTAACTGATCCAGACTAAGCAGTGTTTGCCGAGACATTACAGTGATGTACAAAAATGCCTCTCAAAACAGCATGCTCATATCTCAACACAGTATTTGGACTGGAACTTCAGTAAAAGTTCTTGGAATTAAATTTTGCAGAACAGACACGCAAGCCAAGTATACTCAGATAATGTAAATCCATAGTTATTCCGCATCCTTTCATGAATCTATCTTAAGAAGCTTCTAATCCAGATAAAAACATGCTTTAAGGCATCACCTGCATAAATGGTCACTACCACTGTATCACAAAGGATTTAACTTCTTTAAAAAGGAAAAATAAAATTAATTTCAAATTCCAGTTCCCCTCACAGGTACAATATGGTAGCAGAAGTGATTATATACCATGATAAAATAATGTATTCACTGCAAAGACAGACTGCTGTGAAAAAGACATCAAATCCAAATCAATTCTGACAACTCAATGTAAAAGGACGTACAACAGTAACATATTAATCATAGAATCACAGAATCATTATGGTTGGAAGAGACCTCAAAGATCACCAAGTCCAACCATATACCTGATGCCACCATGCCCGCTAAACCCACTAAACCATGTCTCAAAGCGCCACATACAAACGTTTTTTGAACACCTCCAGGGACAATGACTCCACCACCTCCCTGGGGAGCCCATTCCAATGCTTAACAACTCTAACAGTGAAGAAGTTCTTTCTAATGTCCAGCCTGAACCTCCCCTGGCGCAACTTGAGACCATTTCCTCTCGTCCTATCGCTAATTACAGGGGAGAAGAGACCAACCCCCACCTCACTACAACCTCCTTTCAGGCAGTTGTAGAGGGCAACCAGGTCTCCCCTCAGCCTCCTCTTCTCCAGACTAAACAACCCCAGCTCCCTCAGCTGCTCCTCGTAAGGCTTTTTCTCCAGGCCCTTCACCAGCTTTGTTGCCCTTCTCTGAACATGGTCCAGCAGCTCAATGTCCTTCTTGTGGTGAATACAATATTCTGAACCAAATATTTTTCTCAGGAACAAACAAAACTTGTTTTATTATTAAAATTTCAAATTTTCGAGGAACACTGTATGAATTTATAACCTAGAAAAGCAAATGCATGTAAACTGTGTGAAAAGGACTTAGGAAAAAAAATTAAGATAAGATAACTGAAGGAACTAGCCACCAAAAAAAAAAAGTCACTTCCAAATATCCAAATATCCAGTAGATTCTTTTTAAAAAGAAAAAAAAAAAAAAAATCACACTTAATAACTTCATTAAAATAAACCTGAACACCAATTTTCCTGACAATCTGAAGCATTATAAAAAGAAGGCAGAAAATGAAGCAGATAGCTTAGGCAGAAAAAACCCCACAGGATGCAAAAGGTTTAAAAAAGAAAACTAAAAGGACCACATGCTGATATTTAAATTCCACTGTGGATACTTCTGTTTTAGTTTACTTCAGTTATAATTTCAGTTCTAGAACTATAGAGTTTATGTGCTCTTTAGTATTTGCTCTAGCTCTACCTTGCTACTAAACATAGGAGTTGTAACTTTTTTTTTTTAATGTTATCTATTTAACGATTTTTAAGACTATAAAGAGGTGAGGTTTAGGTATTCAAAAGTACATAAAAATATTTAAAATGTTCCTATCGTGAATCCTATAGATTTAACTACAAACATGTATTGAACTTGCTATACAGACATATATAGGACAATCTCGATTAACACTATAGCCAACAACTCAGCAGATTTTCATTCTTTATGTGGATTGAACAGAGGTCTGCTAAGAGGGGTTTTACTGTTGTTCACCTTACTAAAGTGTACGTCACTGAGTCATAAACTCTGTGATTAGGAAAAGTCTAGGGAGGACAAAGCAATTATAAAAGAGCTTAGCAGAAAAACAGAATCCACCTGTGTTTTCAGCATTTAAAGCATATTCTAATAGGCAGGACTCAAAACAACCAATATTTCAATATATTTTCTTTAACTTTTATACAAATACACAGTAATATAAATTTTTCTTAAAACTTATGATGATTAGGTAATTGAAGTATAAAAGGGATGCAATTCAAGAAAGATAAGATCATACATAGTACAAAACCTCAACAAAAATTGTAGAGTTTAAAGAAGTTCCCACACAAGAAGCCTCTTTTACAGGCTATGACTTTTACAGTTTATCTCAGACTGAAGAGGAATATGTTCAGGACAAATTAATAAAATGAAATAACAAATCACATGGACTAGCCAATACTATTCAAAGAGTTCTACAACTTAATTTCAATAAAAACTGACACACTCACTGATTACAACGTCTAATTGCTCTTAAATCAAAACAGCAAGGCAGCAAATTGAGTCTACCTTTTCTATTTTTAAACTTTTTCTTGCCTTTTTTTTTTCTTTTCTAATAAAGAGGTATTGATAGTTTCAGAAAATCTCTGACTAGTTAAGTCTCACTTGACACAACAGTGTCAAAAAGAATACAACAGAACCAGAACTAAGACTAATTTATCAGGAGCATGAGTCACAAATAATGCGATGTTAATACGTTAACAGGTATGGAGCCTCAAGTTAATAATCCTACTATTGAGAATACAGAAATATCCAATACATACTAAAAAACTAATACTCTTGGTGGTGATTCTTGAAGTGGATACCACCAGGTGAGGGAATACTTCCAGAGACTAGAGAAAGTTGGTATTTCCATTGCTTTACCCTGTCCTGACACGGTATTGGTGTACCATAAGCAAATATACACATTTGTTGAATATTGCGTCTCAGCGACCAAACTACATACAGTTAACAAAAGCTTTAGCATCTTTGCTAAAAAACAATGCTCTACGTACTGACGGCTAATTAATTCAAACCATGATTCCCCAACTTAGATGTCCAACATTCCCACATGAATGGGACCAATGTTTTCCAACTTTGAAGTCAGAAAACCCATTTCTCAACACTGCTGCCCACTCTGTAATGCCATCATCTGTGTCATTTTTTTGGTGGATAGCGAAAACGATTCTTGCATAGTAAAATGAGAACTGTCATTATTTAACCCTCTATGTTGTCCCTTGAGTTAGGTATTTGCTAGCACATTAACAGGAAGGACAGACCACATAACCTAATGGAGCAGACTGCTAAAAAGGCAATGTGATATTACAAGTACATGAAGCATAAGCTGTAATTTCGTAATTACCAGTTTAAATGCTTACAGGTTCAGTGACAGTTTAGCGCACACAAGTGAACTTCAAAGGAAAAATTTTCTACAACTTCTCAAATTATTAAACATAAGTCAATGAAATAAAACTTACTGGAGTATCAGTGGCACCTGATTGGGGTCACGAAATCACTCAGTGTTCAATTACAAAACTCTAAGCCTTTCGCCATATGATAAACCTCAAAGTATTTACATTATTAAAAAAAATACTATGTGTGCTTGATAATTACAGAATCTATGCCATTATAAAGCTCCTGTTTATATAGTGGAATGATTACATCATGAAATTTCAACATAAGTAATTCAAGTGGAAAAGGAGGAAAAACACATTGACTTACTTTCTCTGTAGTTACAGTAAGGGATGGAACCAAGGATGGTGAGGACTCCGACTGCTTCTTGTATTTTTGCTTGTGTTTATCTTTCTCTTTATACTTCTAGAAGTTATAAAAGAGAATATAACCTAAGTTCAGCTTCACCTTTAACGTAACTCATTTTACATAGCATTAAGTGTTATCAAAATTTATGAGAGATGGTAATAATGTCCCGTGCTATTTTACTGGAAACAACATTAATATTTTGAAATTTTTATAATATAATTTTATAAAAGCAAATCAAGTATTTATATTTGCTTTCAAAGTACAGAAACTTAAATTCTTTAATTACAGCCAGCATTTATGAATCCACTGCTGTTAATATTATCCATCTTCCCAATAATCAATTAATCAACAAAAGAAACTGGATTAAAAACAGAGACATGGCTTCTGCTTCACAGTTCTTCCTGTATTTCTCAAAGATTTCTATGTTCCTGCATTTCTGCACCTGCAAACTACTTTTTGTTGGGATACTCCTTTAAATTTATTCAAGGTTTTAGCTTTGGTTCCCCTACTGACATCTCCATGGATAAGAATGTGGAATTTTATTTAGATTTCATTCCCAAAAAGGTGCGTACAGTTTACATACTAAATAAGTATCATCCATGTTAAACTGAACAAAATACCAAAAGCTATACAAATGAAGTGTGCTTTCTAAAAGGGCTGAGAATTTATTTTTTTTTTTAAACACAACATGAAGCACTGACAGTGTGAATGAAATTGTGCAAACAGAAAGAAAATAATTTCTTAATTCAAAGCCTTTAGAGCATAATAGAAGTCTTTCATACTGGTAGAAATCAATTCTTAGAGGATTACAGAGTCAGACTCAAATTGTATTTGATTAAATAATTCAGACAAATACAAAAAAAATATCGAGTCTGATAAAATTAACAATTCAAGGTAGAATACAGGAGGAGTTTAGTATTTTTACCATTTTAATCAGAAACAAGTCTAGACAGTCACTTTTTCCTTAGCATCATAATATCGTTTATTTAGACAGCCAACATCAGAAGACACAGAGAAACTGCAGGTGTGAAAGTTACTTGTAAGCTATTGGCACTCAAGTATTTTGCTTATTTAAGTATATATTTGTGGAATTTTTGTGTACTCACACAAAACTCAGCAGAACAGCATAATCTACGGCTATTTGTTCAGAATGAGTGCTTTAACAGAAAGCTACCAAAAAAGTGCATACATATGAATTGACACAAGGAGTTTAAAACTCCCATTGAGTAGCTTAAAAACATGAGGCAGACAACTTAAAATCTCTAAGTCTAAATAGCCATACGAAAACTCAGTAACTGTTTTGAATCTTGAAAATGTTCCATGCTGATCTTTCTCTAACTATCAAAATGACTATCCAGACCCTCAAAAGAAAACATAATTTGATCAACAGCGACTGCGCAACCTCTCTCACCAAGCACCAGGATGAGATGTAACACATGCATACTCTATTCAGGTATTATCACCTAGTATCAGCTTTCTATTTCAGTCACAATGGAAGAAGTATCAGAAAGTTATTTCATGGAATCAGCCAGAGAGAATAAGAGAATGGGTTCTCAAATTCCCTAATAAAGTAGATTCAGTTAATTGACAATCTGGATGCAAAGCTGAAAGCAAAACACATTTATCTCTGCCTATATAAACTATAAATAACAGCTGACTGACTTAGAAATCACCTTTTCTCTAACCAGCCCCAAATCCATTTAACTAAACTTATAATTTAATTTTGCCAGGAAGGAAATACAGTTTAGCCAAGAAAACTCATAAATAAGGTACCAAAGGTATCATGACTGAAATATCATGCAAAAATACATTTACTAGAATAGAGATGTAAAGTCCTTTTGATTCTCGTACACTTCTTAAAACTCAAAGGAAGGTCCAAGAGAACTCTTTAAAAGGCTGATGGGGATTTCTAGGTATGTTGTTTTCATAAACTGAAGAGAACTTGTGTGTCCCCCCCCCGCCCTGGAGTGTGCCACTTGGGTAGAAACATGGAGTTTTCCCTTTCATAACAAAGTATGCAGGTGTCATAATTACAACAATGTACACCATAAGGTAGGATTTCAGTTGTTTAAGATCTAATATAGGCTTGTTGAGGGAGTTT